TGGGCCAAAATCCTCCATTTTGAGGGTCTCCTCATCCTGCATCCTTTTCCCATGGGATTTTTGCTTTTGAGCTGGAGGTGGGGGGGTTAATGGTTAATCTGGAGCTTGGTAGCGAAGGGGGATCTCCTGTCACATCTTGCAGGAGCTGGACCCTTTCCTGGGGAAATGAAGCTTTCCCCGTAGTATTCCAGCACGGAGGAAGGGAAATTTGGGGATTTCTTGGTGTTAAACACCCCAATTTGCCCCCCTCGAGGTGCACGGAGTGGAAGGCGCAGCCGTCATCTCCGCTGATGCCAGAGCTGGAAGCTGAGCTGAGGATTTTGTCCTGAAATCCAACACGCTGGCAGAGGCGGTGACGCAGTTTAAAGGTGTTCGGAGGGGGAAAATCGGCAAAGAAGGGGATTTAATAAGCAGAAATGGGAGCCTGGAGTGGGGTGAGGTGGGGCAGAGACCCCCCCCAGGGTTGGCAAAGTCCAAGCATTGCAAATGCCCCTTTAATTAAAAAAAAAAAAATCAGGGATTTATCCCCTTTATAGCAGCCTTAGGAGGTGGGAAGCTGCAGATGGGAGGGACAGAGGGCTGCTGGCCATTAATTAGCCCCCAAATTAGGACATTAATTAGATGTGGAGGGAAGCAACACCCCCACACAAAGGAGGTTTGAGCCTCCAGTGGTTTCACCCTTTCCTTGCGACGGGGAATGGGGGGACACAGGGCAACCTCAGGGGTACAAATCTCCGGGGTCCTCTTCTATTTCCAGACATCTTGGGATGCTCGCTGGAGGAAGACTCGGGGGGATACCGGCGAGGTGAGCGGGGCTTCGGGGGTGATGATTGGGTTCAGCCCCTGCAGCTGATCCTCAGATTCAGCATCCAGAGCTGGGGCTCAGCCGCAAAATCTGGGGCTGCTGCTCTGGTGCAAGGCCTGGGTCCAACGCTTGGGTGTAATATTTGGAGCTGATAATCAGCTGCAAGCGTTTGAACCTGCTGCTGCTCGGGTACAATATTTGGAGCCGATGTTCTGGTGCAAAGTCGGAGGGCAATGCCCAGAGTGTTATGCTCTGGTGCCATATTGACGGCTGATAATTACGTGCAACTTTTGGAGCTGGTGATCTGGTGCAACATTTGCAGCCAATAATTGGGTGCAGTATTTAGAGCTGATGCTCCAGTGCAACACCCAGGGCTGATGCTCAAGAGCAGCATTTGAAGCCGATGCTCCAGTTCAACATTTAGAGCTTGTAAATAAATGCCAGAGTTGAAGCTGATGCTCCAGTGCAACACCCAGGGAAGAGGCTCTGGTGCAATACTTTGAGCTGATGCTCTTTTGCAACACCTGGAACTGATTCTCGAGTGCAATATTTGGGGTTGATACCCCAAATACACCAAGCTCCGCTAACACCCCTCTCCCTCCCCAGCAACCGTGACGCTGGGCCCGGCCACAGCTCACCCTCAAATCCTGGTCTCAGCAGATGGCCAGACTGCGGAGCGCCGAGAATCCCCCTCAGCTCCTCTTCCCTCGGGAACGGAGCGTTTCGAGTCTCTCCGCTGTGTTTTGGGTCGGCAGGGCTTTGCGGGGGGCCGGCACCGCTGGGCTGTGGAGGTTCGTCCCGGTCCCGACTGGGCACTGGGGGTGGCTTGGGAATTTGTGTCCCGTAAGGGTTGCTTCGGTCTCAGCCCCGAACAAGGGGTTTGGGCCGTGGGGCAATGGCTGGGGCAGCTACAGGCTCTCACCTGGCCCAGCCCCACATCTCTGCCCCACGACCGTGTGCCCCGACGAATTGAGGTGGCTTTGGATTACACCGGTGGGCGGGTGGCTTTCCGTGATGCTGAGAGCGAGACCAAAATCTTTGTCTTCCCCCCAGCTATTTTTGCCGGCGAACGACTCCGGCCACTGCTCTGGCTGGGTGAGGGACCGACTTTGCTCACCCTCTGCCCCTGAATCCCCCAAAACCAACCTCTGCCATCACCACAGTGAACCACTCTCTCAATAAACGGCCCCAACCCCCCCTCACCCCATTTGCTTTTCCTTTTCAAACCTAATTTAACAAAATTCATCACAGTTCACCCTCCTGCTCCTCACTGGGTTTGCACAGACTCAAAATTCCCCTTAAATACCATTTTTTGCAGCTCTGCTGGGCAGTTCTCCAGTGAAAATAAGCCTTGAAAGGGGAAAAAAGACAAGGGAGTATCTGCCTTCCCACCATGGCTTCACAGCACTCACCCCAAACCCCTTTCCCAAAGCAAAACCCACCCTGAATGTACATTTTTCACCCATTTAATTATTACTTTTTAAGGAGGAGGAGGAGGAGATTAAAGAAAGACGATGAAATTGCACATAGGCCTGACGTAGAGCAGTGTTTTGTGTGCTGGAGAGAGAGGGGCCATACTCGAGGCATGTTTTCTTTCTAATTTAATGCTTTTTGTTGGGGTTTTTCCCCCCCCTGTTGTGCTGCAAAACACCCACATTTCCCCATGAGGAAATATCCTCGGTGGGAGAACGGAGAGATTTTTGTTTCCCCAGCTGTTTGTCAGTGGAAATACGGCCCAGAATAACAGAGAGAACACCCCTAAAAAAAATTGAGAGCTAAATTTGAGGAAGAAAAAAGGCTTTGCTGCTACTGGTGAAAACCTCAATGGGAAGGTTTTACAAGTGGAGAAGTTTCTGCTTAGGATTTGCAGAGAATTTAGGGGAAATGGGATAAAACCACTTCTTGAGCCTCCTGGGATCGCTCAGGCTGGGGCCTCCCTGAGGTTTTGCAATCGCTGCCAGGATGTGATCAGGGAGAGAGGCCACGGACAGGATTTTATCCCCTATTTCACTGCCTGTTAGTGGCTAGAAGAGGAAAAAAAAAAATAAACAAACCACCATCTTGAGATAGCAGGAAGTCATTATTAGGGTTAAACCACATAATAAAGCGCTATTATCAGGCAGTGCAGGCAAGACCAGGCAGGTCTCTTACAACCCCAATTGCTCCGCCTCCGCTGCCAGCCTTGCCTCCCCATTCCACAGAGTCACAACAGCCCGAGAAAGAGGAGAAACCACCAGGAAAGGCAGCAGAGAGGGTGGCTGCTTTCATCTTCAGGGCTCTAATTCTAAATAAGGCCCCTAACAAACCCACAGATCACCACTAAACCCAAATTACAGCCTGGCTCAGTTGTGTAATTAGTCATTTCCATGTCTGGCTCACGGTGAGGTAGGTCGTAGGTGACATCGCCCTCGAAAGACAAGAGTTCATTACAGTGCAAAGTCCAGTGACATTTCATGTTACGAGCATAAGTCAAGGTGCTTCTTTGCAGTGTCTTCCTCCAACAGATGAGCTTCTAACACTCCATTTCATCTACTTTTCATCTGAAACACTTTATAGAGATTTAATTTGAAAGCCCACACAAAATAAAGCATAAACCACAACAGAAGGTTTGCCTTTCTGCATAGTTCAGCACACCCAGGGCTGGCTCTCCAGTGCCAGAGGCAAAAAAAAATAAATCAGCCTCTTTTCACTCGAAGACACCTCACCAGTCTCACATCAGCAGTTTGGACAGCAGATCGTTTGGCATGGAGAGCACACAGCCCCCATTCCTCAAGCAGAGCCAGCAGATATGCCTCGCAGCCTTCCCGCAGAGCTGCCACGGCAGTCCCATGGACCCCAAAACCCTCCCGGACAACAGAGAAACCTCGCACCAGCCCACAAAAAGAGGCTGTAGGGAATATGTTACGGTTTTTTCTCCGCGAAAAACAGAGCTTTTTCCACAATGCTGGAGGCCGAGGAGGCGGCAGATGCTTTTTCGGGAGTTTTGAGGCTGGAGAAGGAGCATTTTCGGAGGTTTTTTTAGCAGCAGCAACCGCTACCACTTGCTTCGCCCGCACCATCCCGCCCATGCTGCTCCCGCCAGCCCCCGTGCCCGCCTTCTATAGGCCCCAGCGCTCTCTGATTGGCTGCTTGGCCCCCGATCGCGGGGTTTCATTGGCTGCTCCTTCCCGCGCCCTTCCCGTCCACTAAGTTCCTCAGAGGCGGACCTGAATGGGAACTGCGCACCCGGTGAGGCGCGGCGGCCGCGGAGGGTCGGACCTGAGTGAGGACTGCGGTTCTCTGGCGAGGGCGTAAAACCTCCCCTGCTCTTTATCGGGATCCGTTTTAGGTGGAAAAAAGGCGGATTTGCAACAATTCGGGTTAATAATCAGGGAGTGTTTATAAAAACGGGGCTCAAAAGGCACTTTTTAAAATCACCAGCTCGTTATACCCAAAAGACACCAATTTGGGTGTATTTTGCCCCAAAATACAGCTGCAGTGCAAACCAGGGAGGTGTCGGTGTTTTTAATCTTCTGGTTTGGGGAACTTTGTCCTATTTTGGGTATTTTCACCAAGGGAGCAGCCGGGGCACTGGGAAATGGGGATTTTCCACCTCAAAACGGTGCCTATGGGGAAACAAAAAAAAAACAAATTGGGGAGGAATTGGTAAATAAAAGAGGAGCTTTGTGCTGCTGTCTCTAGGCTAAAGTGCTGATAAACCCTCAGACCCCCTTTTTTGGGGTGGATTGTCCCCCCTTTAGTGAAAATAAAAAGATTTGGTGTTTTCAGCACCAGCAGTGGAGGTGGGGAGGAAACAGCTCCAAAAATATCCCTAAAACCACCCAGATTTAATCCCAAATCCTGCTTGGAGAGGGAGCTTAAATCCCTCCCAGTGTTACCAGTTTGCCCAGTTCCCCACCACCACCAGCATTCTCTCCTTTTCTTATCCCAATTTATTGGGATAAAATTTTGTAATACCGTTTTATTTCTCCCATTTCATAACTTCCCCCCTTCCGAAAAAGAGGGGTTTTCTGCCCAAAATGAAGCCAAGTAGGATGTTTCTCCATCCCAAAACTCCTCGCTGCCCAACCCCCTCACCCCCCCACCCCCAAAAGCCACATCTCAGGGTTTATTTAAGCTAAAAAGGGGCGCTTTTTAACATAAAAGGGGCTTTTTAGCAGCAGAAATTATGTCCTTTCCGGACCCCAGTACTCCAAGCCTGGAACATATGGGGCAAAACGTATAGACCGGCAAGCAGGCTCTGGTACAGGGCATAACTATAAGGAGGGGAGCGTACAGACTGCGATACAGGGTCTGGATACAGCCCCCAGACCCTACAGCCCAACACAGGGACAAGCCCACATAACCCAGACCCTACGGCCCCATACAGTATAGCGTATATATAAAAGGAATACACAGGGCCCAGGCCATACAGCCGCATACAGGGACTAGGGCACAGACCCTTCTAGCAGGTTCTAGGCCCCACAGCCCAATACAGGGTGTGGAATATAGGGCTGAGACCATATAGGTCTGTATAGACCCCCACAGATCCGTATAGACCCCCACAGATCCGTATAGACCCACAGAGGTCACTTCATGGCCTGTAGCACCCAGAGCACCAAGCTGAATACAGGGACAAGGCCCTACAGCACAATATAGGACCTGGGCAGTGCTGATGGAGCTGGCAGTTGGGCTGAGTGGTATCAAAAGAAATCGGAATTTTGGGTTTTTTTAAGTGTGGTTGTTTTTTTTTTCCTTTTATTCTGGAAAATAAATTTCTCCGCTCAGAGCCGCCTTTGCCCCGAATTTCCCCCATGGCAGCACCGGAGAAGCAGTGGGTGAGCGGTACTTTGCCGCCTGCCAAATCTTCCCCACTAAAGACACAGCAAAAAAAGAACAACCCCAACAAACCACCAAAAAAAAGATGAAAAAGGAGGAACACCCCCCTCCCCCCCCAAATACAATGAGCAGAGCAACAGCGCCCGTTAACTCCAACTAGGATCGTAACCCGTCCAGTCCGAGGGAGGTGCGAGATAAACGCGACGTCCCCGATAGACAAAGCTGACGATGCCGCAATAACCGGCGCGGGGGACGCCAGATTTGAGGTCGTCCATCAGCCCCAGGGCTTTGGCAAAGGCTTTGAAGGAATCGCGGCCGCTGTACTGCAGGCGGACGGTACCCAGCTCCCGCCGCCGGTTCCCTTGGAGCTCTTCCACCCTCACCTCCGGCGCGGCGTAAACCTTGGGGAGGAAAGAACGTTCGTACTCTTCCTTTTTGAGGTAAGAAAGATCCAGTTGGGTAAAAGGCACGAAACGGTCATTAAGTTTGATAAATTTTAAATATTGATCGAAAAATTGCCCGTGGCTCACTCCTTTACGACCGAACGTCATCGTACGGGAGACTTCGGGGCGGACGCAGGAACGATCTCGGCGTTGTTCGGGTTGACGCATCCAATCGTCCCAAAAAGCTCGTGGCCATTTGGGTTCAAGTTCATCCCAAAGTTCAGCTAAAAGCAACCAACCAAGACCGGGAAAAAAATCAGTCCGGTAAAGCAATTCGGCTTGCCCAACGTCCACCATTTGCTCTTTCCCGTTGTCATTCCAAGCAGAGATACACCAGAGGCTGCGATCGGCGAGGAGGAGTGGGAACGTCGCTTGGAAATACTCAAAAAAATCTGGAGCAACTTCTAAATCGTCCTCTACCACGATGACAGCACGGTAACGGAAGGTCCGGAATATCTGGCCCAACGCCCAACGATAATGCCGCGCGATTTTGTAATAACCTTGGAATTTACGGTGTTCTGCCGGCACCGGGATATCGCTGAGATCGGGTTGTCGGATATGAGCCAGGGGGTCCCCGTAGAAAGCAAGGACGCGAGCCGTTTCAGCATGACCACAATCCTGGCTGACGATGACGGGGAAACGTTGGGCCGAAGGTCGGTAGCGTAAGAGTTTATCCAAACACCGACGGACGGTGCTGCGGTCGCAAGCCATCACCAACACAGGTAACACTGTACCAGCGGGATCGGTCAGTCGTGGTGGCGCCGGGGAGGGCGGCAGAGGGGGTTTGGGGGTGATTCGAGCCCCGCGCCGCTGCCCCCACAACCCACTGTAGCGGTGAATTTGGCGCAGGAGTTCTTTTTGCCGTTCCA